AATCCATTAGGCAAGTTTGCTGCTTATACAACTGGGGAATGTTTGGGTGTCTATTCACCAAGGGGTTCTGTTCCTATAAGCGAAATAAACATATTAAGTTGCAGTTGAGGGAACTGGGATTTTTTTTACTGTGTTCAGGGAATTAGTAATCATATCACTGGGGAAAAATAGAAGTATCTTTTGAAGGCATTAGAAAAGCTTAGCTCTCCAAGCAGATTTCTGCCTGGATAAGCCAACAAGACTAATTTGGATTCAAACATGTATTGTTCCATTAGAATTGTGTCCTTTTGAGGGTCATCTTTATAGACAGTAACACATATTTCTGTTTCTGGAACATAATCCATTGTTTCTCAAGGAATAGCAACCATTCATATTTGACACAGTTAAAGTGGTCTGGTATATTTGGAAAAAATGAGGTTCCTACACTTCAAGCGGACAAGAAGATCATAATGTATTGGTAAATCTGGATCAATAATGATTTCTGATGCCTAATCAAATACTTTAAGACAAAAACTATAAAGATGTAAGACCTATAAATCTGACTGCTGGAATAATGAAACTTTAGGGAAAACCAGGAATGGTTTCATATGCAAAAGAGGTGTAGAATCATAGGGTTGGAAGAAACCTTTGAGGTCTTCTAGTCCAGGGGTCTCCATCCTTGGCGACTTTAAACCTGGAGGACTTCAACTCCCAGAATTCCCCAGCCAGAAAATTCTGGGAGATGAAGTCCTCCAGACTTAAAGTTGCCAAAGTTGAAGACCCCTGTCCTAGTCCAATCCCCCCCCCCATTTCTGGGTCAAGGCAGGAATCCTTACAAATGATTATCCAGTATATTCTTGAAAACCTCCAGTGATGGAGCAGCTACAGTTCTAGGAAGGAAGGAAGCTTTTCCATTGATTAACTGTTCTTGCTGTCATGTCAGGAAATTTCTCCTTAGTTCTAGTTTGGATCTCTCTTTAATGAGTTTCCACCCGTTGATTCTTCTCCTGCCCTCAGGTGCTTTGGAGAATAAGTATGGAGTTCATAAATTTGGAGAATAATAGGATTAAATAATTATTCATAAATACATTTATGAATGGTTTATGAATAATATAACAGAAGCCATTGTTTTTAATCATGTTTTTATGTATGACAGTGCTTGTTTTTAAAGCTATGAAAAAGTTAACTTATACATCTCAGATCAAAACAAGCAACCTCATGGTATAATAATAGTACAAAAATCAACTAAACCCACCTTAAAAAACCCCAAAGGCCCAGTAGGAAGGAGGAAGGAAAAACAGGAGTCATCTACAACAAATGTGTAAGGTCTACGACAGCCACTGTGTAGGACAGACATATAGAAGATTAGCAGAGCAAATCCATGAATACTAATTAGCAATCAGAAGACATAATGAAAACTCCTTAATTTCACAGCTCATGGACAGACTTAATCATAGTTTCAACCGAAAAACTGAGCATCTTAGACCAAGCTAAATCCCAAACTGTTAGAGAATTCCTGCAAGCTTCGAACTCAGACAAATTAGCCATCAACAGGCACATAGACATAAAAACATACAGTATATACAACATTAAAAAAAGTTAAAAAGAAAACATAAAGACCAGAACATTTCCTCACCAGCTATCAACACCCAGATAAACAGGGATTAATGCCAGGATTAACACCAGACTAACAATGAAGCAGGGAATAATGGGCCCATCAAGGATATCAAGGAGAAAACAATACCTCCACCAGTGCTGACAGGGCAAGCCACTGTATATAAACAAAAGAGCAAGCCCAATTCCCTTCTAGCACTGAAGATGTTACCTAGCTGAGTAGTGAAACTCCACTTTCCTGTCTGGTATGTCTATGGTAGATCTGGGAAAAAGAAAACTATTGTTTTTCCATTCTTTTGATGATTTGAGCTAAAATGGGAGGGAGCATGAACTACATTTTCACTGCCATCAGTGAACTTGTAAGAAAAGAATAATCAGTCTTTTGATATCCACCTATGAACTTTTTTTTAACATTTTACCACTCTGCAACTTGTATAAGATTGCACAAGTTGTACCAAGCTGCTCACTTTTCACCAACTTCTACAATAGTTTTAAAGTGAAGTGAGGAGGAAAAAAAGAAGCTCACCAATTGGGATCCACCCAGGAGGAGTCAGACAATCGCAATTAAATGATCCTGGGGGATAACAACTGGACGCAAGAGGTTTCCTGCCACAGCCCAAGGGAGTGGTAGCATTTGCCTTCAATGAAATGAAATGGAGAGGGTGAGCCAGACAGCATTGCTGGTGCTGGCACAAGTCAGAAAGCACTACTTTTGATGCATAGATGGAAAAATCTGTGAGTCTCTCGGTAAGCTATGGAGAATGACATCATGTGTTCCTGGCCTCAGGACAGAGCTAGTGATCCTGTATCTGTACCAACCCAGTAAAAATAAAAGGACATACTCCAAGCTTGATGTAGGCCCATCCCTACCTCAGAGGGTGATGCTGTCCTTTCTTAAAGGGGTGGGATATAACTATTGCAATGTAAAGAAGTACAGATTTGTGAGGTTGGTGTCACTCAGCTGCAGCTGGGATTCCAACAGCAGCACAAAGTGGTGTGTTGTTTGGCTTTGCAAAAGCACAAGCCATTGTTTCTTGTTCAGTCACCCTGTGCCATGAGAGCAAAGGGGATTGCCTTCTTTCTCTCTTTCTCTCTCCTTCCCCCCTTCTCCCATTTCATTTGATTGGAAGAGGCATATTCTCTGTCTGAAGTCCTTATGATAATCAAAGGATTGCCTAGGCTTTCCTAGCAAAATAAAAAAGCAGTGCTAGCCATATTGACAATGAGAAAGGAGTATCTATAAAGCTTTATTTAAACTTCAAAACACCTGGTTATTGATCATTTAATAAGAAATTTTAAATCTCATCTTCATAAGTGCAGCTTATCAGACTCAAGAGCAGGGGCATTAGCTCTGACCACCAGTGTGACTACAGTTGGCACTTTAAAAGCATGTGTAAAACAGACTCAACCTCTGTCTTCCAACAAAATTTGTATTTATAGCCTTAGCTTCAAGAAACAGTTTGGTGGAGGCACAGAATAAAAGAGGGGAAAACTGGAGAAAATCATGAAATATAAAGACCTGCAAATTTTAAAAAACCAAATATAGTACACACAGTAATAGGCACCTTGGGTGCAATCTCAAAACATCTGGAGCACCGCTTGACAAAATTACCATCAGTCAATTGTAAAAGGCAGCTTTATTTGGAATAGCTTACATTCTGCGTTGATACCTTTAATATTACTGAATAACAACATTTGCCTGTCCCAGATACTTGGGCAGGACTTGATGGATAAAAATGCCAAATCCAGTCTATATTAGTTTCTTATCAGGAAAGATTATATAGCTAAAAGGAATGTACAATTAATTTAGTCATCTGTATTAATAATTTTGGTTTGAAGTTATGATGGCCTGAGAAATAGTGATTCATAACCTGTCGTAGAAGTTACAACCACTGCATTACCCTGCAGTTATGTGGTCTTAATTTGGGTGCTTAGCAACTGGCTTGCATTTATAAGGGTTGCAGCATCTTGCAATTGCAATTTGTGTCTTTCCCAGCCAGCTTCTGACAAGGGAAGTCAATTGGGGGAGCTGGATTTGCCTAACAGCTGCACTAAAAATGGTTGTAAAATATAGTCCAGTCATGTGATCGCTCACTGAATGACCACTTAATAACTAAAATTCCAGTCCCAATTGTGGTCATAAATTGAGGACTACCTTTATGGTTTTGTTATTCAGTTACTACTACTATTTCCAAGTTGGAAGCACCAAAGTGTTTCCATAGTGAAAGGATTTGCCAGTGACATCATCACTGTCTGGGGGACACTCAGTTGGGGGCTCCTTTTGTGTCCCTGGAAAGTTGCCCACCAAAGTGGTACCCATGTATCTACTTACAGTCATCCGCTTTCAAACTATTGAGTCGGAAGGAACTGGAGCATGTGACAGGAGCTCATCCTACCTCAAGACAGCAACAAGGTCTTGAACGCAAGCCTGTCAATCTTCAGCACAGCATTCTAACCTCATGAGCCACCATGTTCCTTCAGTTAATGGAGTTATTCAGTTAATGGAATAATAAAGAAGCAGACACATTACTACTGTATATTACATGTATATCATTTTTAAGAATATTTAACAGTGCAATTGGTTTCCTTTGTAATACAAATTTAACCCATATATTATATAATTACAAATAATTTTAGATGCCAAAATGCATCTCCAAAATTGGGTTTACCTTATCCATGTATGGGTTTATCTGCGAGTATACTATTTACTGTAATTTTTTTTTAAATACCCATATATCCCACACATGCTTATATCCCATACCTAAGCCCAGTTTATGGATAAATTGACACACACATTTTTAACCAAAATACTATGAAAAATGAAAAATCTGTGGATTTCCTGCAGATAAGGCAATTGTGAAAATTATATAAACAGTTTGAGGGTTGGCTTAGCTATAGCACTAGCACTTAGACTTATATACCGCTTTATAGTGCTTTACAGCCTTCTCTAAATGGTTTACAGAGTCAGCATATTTCCCCCAATGATTTGAGTCCTCATTTTACCGACCTCAGAAGGATGGAAGTCTCAGTCAATCTCAAGCCGGTGAGAATTGAATTGCCAACAGTCAGCAGAATTAACCTGCAATACTGCACCACCATAGCTTATTCACGACGGGCTTATCTATATACTGTAGATACAGTGTACATTTTATCTACTGTATATACTGTAGTTTTATCAGACTTTCAAAGAGTACACTGGCCCAAAAAGGCTTAATAAACCCTGGTGAGCACAAAAGCATGATCTTGGCCTATGAATGCCGTTCACCATCTGTGTACTGTAGGAAGAAGATGAAGCTCTGGAATAATGGCTGTGGGAATCTCCAGGAAAAACAAGGAACTGTTTGCAGATTTTTCTGTGCTTGCCACCCATCTTCCTTCAGCATTTAACCTTTGCTTTGCTTTTCCAGTTGGCAGGTTCAGCTGTTATCGCTTTTGGGCTATGGCTGCGGTTTGGAAATGTTATAAGAGATTTAGCAACTGATGAAGCCTCCCCAGAATATTTTTTTATGGGTAAGTTCCATATCAAGTATTACTGTGTAAATATAATTTTTCTTTGGTAGCAACAACAATAATCATGCGGGGCAAGAAAGCTTTTGCTTCCTGAACACTTTGGGATATATGTTATAGATTTTTGACTATTATTCATGAAGATAATCTATCACATATCATTATCTATATATATAAAAGCGAAAACTACTCATGCCATAATCACGAAATCTCCAGAACCGTAAAGCCTACAAACTTGAAATTTGCCACGTATGTTCCTCTTGGCTTCTAGGTGCTCACTAAGAAAGGATTTTTCAAAATGACCAATAGAGCATTAGTATTTCCTATATTATTATTAACACGCTCTGATGATAAGGAGTTCTACTCCCCCTTCCCACCTGAAAAGAAATCTGTTCCAAATGCAAAACACAAGCAGAGGATAGGCATTTCACTTTCAATTTTACTTTCACAGCAGGAAGCAGCTTTAATACAGAACACTTGAGCTAAGCCACAGCCAGGCTCCTTCCTGTCTCCTTCTTGCTCACACAGCAAATACTGTTTCACTTTCCAAACAGCCCTCTGATGCTAAGGAGTTTTACTGAGCTGGAAATCTGTTCCAGCTCTGATGCTAAGGAGTTTTACTCCCCCTCCCCACCTCAAAAAAAATCTGTTCCAAATGCAAAAACACAAGCAGAGGAGAGGGGTTTCACTTTCAGTTTTACTTTCACAGCAGCAAGCAGCTTTACTACAGAACAGTTGAGCTAAGCCATGCCCAGCCTCCTTCCTGTCTCCTTCTTAGTCACACAGCAAATACTGTTTGAGTGTCCAAACACCCCTCAACTCTCTCACACACTGACAGGATGCTAGCCAGAGGAATACCGATGGATGCTGCGCGGTGGGACATTCTACTCTTCCTCCCCCTCTCTTCCAACTGCCAGTTGCATTGTATCAACATCTCTGATACTACGGAGTTACACATTCTACATTAAGTTTCAGGCTGTAAATGTCAATTTATCACATAGCAGATAGTTTTGTAGCGAAACACAGGCATCCAGCTAGTAGAAAAATAATGGGGAGAGAGAAATTCTTAATTCTTTTTTTTTCCACACATGTTTTTCACTAAAAATTCCATCCATAGACAAGTCATATGTTTTTCCTTTCATAGAACACCACCTTATTTTTAAACAAGTTACAACTTTCTCAAAAGATCATCTTTGGAGGGAATATTTTTTCTTATCACCACCATCACCAATTAGATGATACAAGTGATGTCACACATCTATTCTCCCTTCTAAGATTGATTATTTTTCACTTTTCAGAAGTTTACAGCTTCTGTATTTCATTTGTTTTATAAATGCATTTTAAAAATATACTCTAAAAGTTAATAAGAGATGTCCTCTTGAACACTGAACAAACAAGCAACTACTTATATGACCCTACATACAATCCCTACACCAAATCAAAACTGTGTTATGATCATTAATTCTACCTAAGGCAATGAAGTTATTGTGTAGAAATTTTCACCACTAACAGAGAATCATAGAGGTGGAAGATAACCTTTAAAATGTTAAATTCAGTCCCCTTCTCAGTGCAGGAATCCCAATTAAAATATCCATGAGAGGAGGCTCTGCTTAAATACATCCATCAGTTGACAGCTCAAGTCATCATCACCTTCCTGGTAATAGGTTTCATTGTTGAATTGCTCTGAATCCATATCCCTGTAATTTACATCCATTATTCCATATCCTGTCCTCTGGGATAATAGAGGTGTCTTCAAGATGACACCTTTGTCCAGATTTTTAAAATTTGATCATATTCTTATCTTCCCTGTTTTTCTCAGAACTTTCATAGGACTTAGTTTCTAGTCTTGATTATTCTCATTACTCTTTCTCTGAATGTGTCTAAATGTGGTGTCCAGAACTGGACATTCTGCTGGAGAGCAACTATGACCAATGCAGAATGAAGTGAAACTAGGATTTCAGAACTATGCATCTTGAAATAATGAATAGTGATATCAAGGTTGTTAATGAGCGCTAGAATCTAGACATTTAAGTATTATTCACTTGATGCGAAATCTTGCAAAACTGTATATAATCTTGTTTAAACAATGTTTAAATGTTTACTTGTTTAATCCAATCTTGAACTGAAGAAAATGTATGTGTAAGCCAGCTTTCTTAACAGCAGAATTGCCCTGTGAGCCCTAGATAGACTCATATAAGGGAGGGGGTAAAATACACTAAAGCATCTATGACAAAGCCTTTCTTTCTCTTGCCTGAGTCTAACCACTGTTGAGAGAACTTAAGTGTTTTTTACGGAGTGAAGTCCTGGCTCATAGCCCAGCCTTTCAGGGATAAAGATCATCAGATGTGACGCATTACACAAACCAAAATATCCAATAATTGGCACCTCTCTAACATATGCCCTTAGCGCCAGTTTCTCAACATAGTTTGATTTCTAGGCAGATATTGAACGGAATTGTTTTAGAATATCTTGTAGCCCAAATATTTTTTTAATCAGTATGGCAATGTAAGATATGCTTTGTTTAATATTTTGGGGGGGATGTTTACACAGTTCTTGAATTCCATGTCTAATTAAGCCCCAAATAAATCTCCCTCCATATAACACCTTGAGTTATCTGAGTCTGAAATTACACTCCCATACATATATGCTAGAGATCAAGCTTCATTGAACTCACTGGGTCTTAAATAGCCATATAGACACTGTCAAACTGTTTACTAAATCTGCACTACTATTAATCTTCTTATCAGTCCCATCACCCATCTCCTTCCACTTATGACTGTATGACTGTAACTTTGTTGCTTGTATCCTTACGATTTATATTGATATTTGTACTCTATAACTATCTGTACTCTCTGCTTATTTGTACTCTATAACTATTATTAAGAACCTTATGATTCTTGATGACCGTATCTTTTCTTTTATGTACACTGAGAGCGGATGCACCAAGACAAATTCCTTGTGTGTCCAATCACACTTGGCCATAAAAAATTCTATTCTATTCTATTCTATAGGCTTGCACCATTAATATGCATCACTTTAAGCTTCTGTATCTTTCTAAATCTGACTGTAAACCTTCTGGCAGGGAGAAATAAATAAAACCCCAATTGCTGGTTAGAATATATTAATAGTTGCTAGCATTCAGGCATTTTGAAGTTTGCCCTTTTTTTGTCCTGTATTTTACCCATGCTTTCTTTGTTTGCTTGCTTATTTTTTTTTTTGTGTGTGTGTGTGTGTGCCTGCTTTATTAAAACAGAGAGCTACATTGCTGGCAAGAGTATTTTGAATAAAACTCCCTAGATGCAGATTGTTTGATCTCCAGATTAAAAACAGATGCACCTCAGCCTGGTCCTGCTCTGTGTCATCTATGGTCATTTTGGCCAGGATTGATGCAAATTGTAGCCCAGTACACCTGGAAACCTATTTTACTGGCAAAATGGTGATTCTAGAAGGTATCTCTACTTGTTTATCTGTAAAGGATCTGTGCTGCACAAGACAAAAGGTTCCCTGTATATCACCTTATTTACCAAATGGTGTATGTCTACCGTAAATATATTTAGAGGTATTCATGCTTGCCTTTAGCAAACTTAAACACACACAATATAGATATTCTTAAGTGTAGCCCACAAAGAAATTTCAAAATAAGGTACTTTAGATTCCACAATTTTAACAATTTCTATTAATATTTTTTCTAGCCATATTTTCTTAGGAACTGTGAAATATACTCAGAGTAATGACTATTTATTCTATTAGCAGGATCCTGCTTTAAGGGTACTATAGACTAAGACTCCTTGTTTCAAGGGCAGTCTGCTGGAAAAATCTGAGAACAAGGAAAGGAGAGTGACAGACATTGTCTTGGTTTTACTATGTAGCTACAGTTTTTTCCATCCCTCCATCCTTCTGAAGCAAGTTTGTGACTTTCCAATGGATTAAAGCTGGTATTATAGATGCAATTGATGTTCAGATGTAATATTAAGGGCTGATCAAAATCAAAAGCAACACCTGATTTCTTCATAGATATGTCAGAGCACAAAAGCTCATTCTCCAGGCTACAATATTGCAGAAAGAAATCGTAGTGCAGCAAATCAATTCAGTGTCTTGACACTTCTGAGAAAAATAAAGATATTAGCTTGATAAATGTTTTACTCTTAAATGAAGTAAGTCATCCAAGATCAGGAAAAGGCAGCTTTATTATTGTGGACTACAGCTGAATACTTTGGGGATTGCAGTGTAACTACACTTCTTCCAGATACCGTGTTTCCCCGAAAATAAGACCCTGTCTTATATTTTTTTAAACCCAAAATAAGCGCTGGGCCTTATTTTCAGGGAAGTCTTATTATCTTGGGGTGTGTGGAGCAAGATGGGACTCCTTTTGCAGTCTTACCTGATTTCCAGCTCTGTCTCCCTAACCCTAACCAGAGGAAATGGCGGGAAACTGGCTGTGCATGTGTTTAAATATTTTCGGGGAGGGCTTATTTGGGATGGGTTTATTTTAGTGCATGCGCTCAAAGGTCCAATTGGGCTTATTATCAGGGGATGTCTTATTTTCAGGGAAACAGACTAGTATATAACTATTAAAATATTTTTCTCCTTGCTTTTAGCCAGAGACACTAGAGATAGCTAAGAAGACATTTTAAAAATAAACAAAATTGTATAATAAAAAATAAAAATTAAAACAAGATAAAAACTCAACTATAAAATGAGATTCTATTAAAACAATGCTTGACAAATTTGATAGCAAGATCTAAAGGTAAAATGTTAGCGCTAACAAAGTCCTGTCAATTTTCTATTTGATAGGAATGTTTAAGGGTAAAAAGATGAAATATAGAGAATCTCCAAGCAGATTTGTAGTTTCTTTAATAGTTTTGATATTAACTAAAAGAAAAATGTATTAGCAGCAAAGTTTGAACAAAAGATATAATTCTTAATAGTAGAGTGGCAGACTACATTTATTAAAAAAATCATTAATTTGATAGGCATTAGATCCACTGAGATAGTGAACGGGT